GGGGGGAGGGTAGAAAGGTGGAAGGAGTAGGAGGGGCAAGGGTGGGGAAATAGAAGAGCTGGGGGAGTGGGTATGTAGGTACTAGGAGGGCAAGGAGTGGGGGGCTGGGGTTTTCTGGGAGGAGTGGGAGTGGAGGAGCATCCCCAGCTTTGGGAAGAGGCCCAGAGATTCTGACCCCAGGCAAGAAGTGACCCCCCTGACCCCCTGACCCTCCTGCATTTGGTAGTGAGGTGGGAGGCAGAGCCCCTGAAGGTGGGCATCTAGGATCTGCAGAGCCCACTCTGCCTCTAGCCTCTGACTTCATGCCTTTTGAATCCGTCTGCCGTGTCAGTAAGCCCACCTTAGTGGCTCCTGCATCAGCCCACCAAAAAAGCCCCTCCATCCTTCCACTTTAGCTGGCCAGCATGCCCATTTCTTCCCTCAATTTCTTCCAAGCACCCATGTATCTGCCCCCTTGGCTTTCTCCTGTTTTTCTGTCACTTCCTGGATCATGTGGCTTCTCCAGATACCTGCTCAGGATGTGCCTGGGTCCTGCCCTCAGGGAATCAATCACCAGCCTGGATAGTTGCCAAAAAGGACTGTGAAGATTAGATTCATTCCTTCCTTCATTCCTTTTCTTTATTCCTTTCTTCCTTCCTTTTTTTTTTCTTTTGAATAGGAGTTTCACTCTGTTGCCCAGGCTGGAGTGCAGTGGCATGCTCACTGCCACTGCAGCCTCAACCTGCTGGGCTCTGGTGATCCTTCCACCTCAGCTTTCCAAGTAGCTGGAATTACAGGCATGTGCCACAACACCAAGCTAATTTTTTTTTATTATTTATTGTAGAGATGAGCTCTCACCAAGTTGCCCAGGCTGGTCTTGAACCCCTGAGCTCAGGCAATCCTCTCTCCTCAGCCTCCCAAAGTGCTGGGATTACAGGCTTGAGCCACCGTGCCTGGCATTCTTTTCCTTTCTTTGACAGGGGTCTAGGCTAGAGTGCAGTTGTGGGATCATAGCCTCGAACTCCAGGGCTCAAGCAAACTTCCTGCCTCAGCCTCCTCAGTAACTGGGACTATAGGTATACGTTACCACACTTGGCAAATTTTTTTTTTTACTTTTTGTAGGGCCGAGGTCTTCTATGTTGCCCAGGCTGATCTCAAACTCCTGGCCTCAAGCAATCCTCCCACCTCAGCCTCCCAAAGTGCTGGGATTATAGACAGGAGCCACTACACCCAGCCTCTCCCTTGTCTTTTCGTTCCTTCCCTTTCCTTCTCTTCCTCCCCTTCCTCCTCTCCCCTCCCGCTGTCTGTACAGTTTTATTGAGGACCTTTTCTGGGCCATGCACTGTTCCAGACACTGGAGGACACAGTGTCACCCAAATCTGCCCTCTGGGAGCCACCATTCTAGCAGGCTGGACAGGACCTCGCCTGTGCACCTCACCTCTCCTGGCTTCCAAGGCCTCCTCTGATTGACATGGGCTCTCTTGTCCCGCACCTTGGCACAGGCCCAGTTTGACTTGGCCTTTGTGGTCCGCTACAAACCTGATGAGCAGCCTGCATTGATGCCGCATCATGACGCCTCCACCTTCACGATCAACATCGCCCTGAACCGGGTCGGGGTGGACTATGAGGTGAGCAGGGGCCACTGGAGGCGGGGCAGGCAGGGAGACAGGGAGGGCTGGCTGGCAGCTTTCAGGGTAGATGAGGTAGAGGGGCCCAGGGTTGCCAGCATCAGAGAACAAGAGAGAAAGGACACAGGTCTGTGCAGAGGGCTTCCTGGAGGGAGTGGGCACAGGGCACAGTCGGGTTGAGATTGGCTTCAGGGATGCTAAAGCAGGCACTTCAGGATGTCTGGGGCCAGACTCCTGGCTCTGGGTCCCACCTCCCTCTTCCTGGCTCTGTGGAAGAAAGAGGATACTCTGGGAGGGTGCGGGGGACAGTGTCCTCTGGTTGGGGCACAGGCTTGTGGCTGGAGGGAGGAGCTGGGAAGCCAGGAAGACATAGGCTGGGAGGGAGCAGTGCTGGGGGTCTCACGGCCCCAGGGAAGGCCTCTAGGTGTGGTCTGCTAAGGACTCATTCATTCATTCACTCCTTAAGCTATAGTCTGAAGAGTTTTTTGGGCTCAGCCCTGGGCTGGTCTCTATGAAGGAAGCCCATACAACCAGATATGATTTTATTTTATTTATTGTAGAGATGAGGTCTTGCCAAGTTGCCCAGGTGGATCTCGAACCCGCGGGCTCAGGCAGTCCACTCACCTCAGCCTCCCAAAGGCACGGGATTACAGGCCGAGCCCGGCTTTGATTTTATTTTAATCAGAATCTCACTGTCATCTAGGTTGAAGTGCAGTGACATGTTCTTGGCTACTGCAGCCCCAACCTGCTGAGCTCAGGCGATCCTTCTACCTCAGCCTTCCCAAGTAGCTGGAAACACAGGCACGTGTCACCATGCTCAGCTAATTTTTAAAAATTTTATTTATTGTAGAGATGAGGTCTCACCAAGTTACCCAGGCTGGTCTTGAACCCCTGGGCTCAGGCAATCCACTCACCTCAGCCTTCTAAGTTGCTGGAACCATACCCGGCCAATTTTTTATTTATTTTATTTTTTTGAGTCGGGGTCTCACTCTGTCATCCACGCTGGAGTGCAGTGGCATGCTCACGGCACTGCAGCCTCAATCTGCTGAGCTTAGGCAATCCTTCCACCTCAGCCTTCCAGAAGCTGGAACTATAGGCACACGCCACCATGCCTGGCTAATTTTTTTTTTTTTAATTGAAGAGATGAGGTCTCACCAAATTGCCCAGGCTGGTCTCGAACTCGTAGGCTCAGGCAGTCTTCTCACCTCGGCCTCCCAAAGTGCTGGGATCATAGGTATGAGCCACTGTGGCCAGCATATTTTATTTTATTTTTTATTTTAATTTAATTTAATTTAATTTAATTTAATTTTATTTTATTTTATTTTTTTGAGTCAGAGTCTCTGTTGCCCAGACTGGAGTACAGGGGCATGCTCATGGCCACTGCAGCCTTGACCTGCTGGGCTCAGGTGATACTTCTGCCTCAGCCTTCCAAGTAACTGGAACTATAGGCATGTACCACCACGCCCGACTAATTTTTTTTATTTATTGTGGAGAATGCCATGTTGCTCAGACTGGTCTCAAACTCCTGAACTCAGGCAATCCTCTCACCTCAGCCTCCCAGAGTGCTGGGATTATAGGCATGACCCACCACATCTGGCCAGCTAATTATTTGTTTGTTTATTTATTTATTTTTTGAGTTCAAGTCTCACTCTGTCGCTCAGACTGGAATGCAGTGGCTGTTCCCGGCCACCTCAGCCTCGACCTGCTGGGCTCCAGCGATCCTTCCGCCTCAGCCTTCCAAGTAGCTGGAACTACAGGCACGTGGCTACCACGTCCCGGCTAATTTTTGATATATTGTAGAGATGAGGCCTCACCAAGTTGCCCAGGTGGGTCTCGAACCCGCAGGCTCAGGCAATCCACTCACCTCAGCCTTCCAAGGTGCTGGATTACAGGCTGAGCCACCGAGCCCAGCTATTTGTTTGTTTATTTTAGAGGCAAGGTCTCACCAAGTTGGCCAGGCAGGTCTTGAACCCCTGGACACAGGCAATCCTTGCAATCCTCTTACCTCTACTTCCCAAAGTGCTAGGCCGCAAACTCTTATTTGTACTATCTCATTTAATTCTCCCAACCCTGTGCAGTTTAACCCCCAATTTACAGAAGGGAAAACTAAGGCTCATGTTAGTCACAAAGTTAGTAAAAGTTACTGGTGACAGCCGGGCTCGGTGGCTCAGCCTGTAATCCCAGCGCTTTGGGAGGCTGAGGTGAGTGAATTGCCTGAGTCCACGGGTTGGAGACCCGCCTGGGCAACTTGGTGAGACCTCATCTCTACAATAAATCAAAAATTAACTGGGCGTGGTAGCACGCGCCTGTAGT